TTTCGCTGACTCGATACTGGGAGTTAATTGTTAAAAGAACATTGTCTGCTGTACGCCTGATTAGAGGCACGTTTCCAAACCCTCTAAATTGGTGACCCTGAACGTTCTTCAGTCTCCCGAGCCTTCGTCGAGTCTGTTTCACAATGTCTATACTGCTGGACGGTAGTTCGTCGCCGTTATTCCAGCCAGCGCCCGCCACCCGCAACACTCCATCTGCTGCCACTAGTGCCGCCCCATCTGTGGCCCTGCAGACCCCCGCTCCGTCGAGTACCGCATTACTTGCCAGTCACGCGTGCTGCATCGCGACCACCTACGGCCAGCGTTCTACTGGCTCCAACGAATGCTGTGAGCCTCAAGCTGCCGCCTTTCTTGTCCAAAGACCCTGCCCTGTGGTTCGCACAGGTGGAGGCATTTTTCGCCACACGAGCCATTACACGGCAAACCACCCGGTTCGAGTATGTCGTCGGCGCCCTAGAGCCCGAGGTCGCTGTCGAGGTCCGCGACCTCATCCTGTCTCCACCGGCTCAACAGTACTACGACGCGTTGAAGGCGACTCTGATCCGTCACACGGAGACCTCCCAGCAGCAGCGTCTACGCCAGCTACTGACGCAGGAGGAGCTGGGCGACCGGACACCCAGCCAGCTGCTGCGCCGCATGCAGCAGTTGTTGAGCAACGCACCAATGGATACAAGCTTACTTCGGGAGCTCTTCATTCAGCGTTTGCCATCCGGCATCCAGATGGTGTTGGCCTCCTCGACCGCCACACTACCGCTGGCTCAAGTTGCGGAGATGGCAGACCGCATTATGGAGGTGTCTCCTCCCTCGGTCAGGCCAGCCACAGGTGCCAATATGCCGGCTTCCGCCCCAGTGCCTGCCACCGCGGCTAGTGATGATATGAGCGAGTTGCGCGCACAAGTTGCTGCGCTCACTGCCGCTGTTGACCGCCTGTCACGTTCGCGGTCGTCTAGCCGCTCTGCTAGCCGCTCTGCATCTCGGAGTGGTAGCCCGAGGCGGGACGGCTTGTGTTTTTACCATGACAAGTTCGGCACTCGCGCCCGCAACTGCAGACCGGGGTGCACATGGCAGACGGATTCCCAGTCGGAAAACAGGGGAGCCCGGCAGTGAAGGCGGCCATCACTCCTGGCTCATCCATTGCTCCGGGCCGTCTGCTGTTCATCCGCGATACCGCCACGACCCTTTCGTACCTGATTGACAAGGGGGCGGCAGTGAGTGTCATCCCACCCCGTGCTAGTGACAAGCCCAGCCCGCCATCGGTGGTGCAGCTCCAGGCTGCTAATGGCACACCTATTCGCACCTTTGGTGAACGTTGGCTTTCGCTCACGCTCGGCCTCCGGCGTAACTTCACGTGGACTTTCGTCGTTGCAGACGTCACCTCGCCTATCCTGGGGACAGACTTCCTAGCCCACCACGGCCTACATGTCGACCTGGAGGATCGTTGTCTGCATGATTCCCGGACCAAACTTTCCTCTGCTGGTCTCCTTGACTCTACTGTGCCCATCAGTCCTGTCCTCGCTACGCCTGCTACTGACTCTCTGGGCACTGCTGTTCTACGTGACTTTCCTGAGTTGCTGCCACAGGCCAATATTGCTCTGGGCTCCGTAAAGCACAGCATTCAGCATGTGATTACCACCCACGGCCCACCTCAGTTTGCTCGCCCCCGTCGTCTGTCACCAGCCAAGCTCACAGCTGCTCGCGCTGAGTTTGACGTTCTGCTCCAACAGGGTATCATCCAGCCGTCATCTAGTCCTTGGGCTTCTCCTCTGCACATGGTTCAGAAGAAGTCCGGAGATTGGCGCCCCTGTGGCGATTATCGCGCCCTGAACGCCGTCACTGAGCCTGATCGCTACCCGATTCCCCACCTTCACGATTTCGCCGCTAACCTTGCTGGCTGCACGGTCTTCAGCAAGATCGACCTAGTCAAGGCATACCATCAAGTGCCCGTTCATCCTAACGACATCCCGAAAACTGCCACCACAACGCCATTCGGCCTGTTCGAGTACCTTCGGATGCCATTCAGCCTGCGTAATGCGGCACAGAGTTTTCAGCGCTTCCTTGACCAAGTCCTCCGCGGTTTGCCGTTCGTTTACGGCTACATTGACGATCTCCTAATCGCCATTCATTCTCTCGACGAACATCGTGTACATCTCCGAAAGCTATTTCAGCGTCTCTCAGAGCACGGCCTGTTCATTCAGCCGCACAAGTGTGAGTTTGCCAAGTCGAGTCTCAACTTCCTCGGGCATCATGTCTCTCCGGCTGGCATCGCTCTGCTGCCCGATCGTGTTGCTGCTATTCAAGCCTTTGAGTAGCCTACCTCTGTTCGTCAACTCCGGAGGTTCCTCGGCTTTGTGAACTTCTACAGACGATTTGTCCCACACTGTGCAGCGCTGACTCAACCTCTCTGCTTGCTACTTCGCTCGGCCAAGCCCGCCAACGCTGCACTCAGCTTCTCTCCTGAGGCACTCTTCGCCTTTCAGGCCACCAAGGACGCTGTAGCACAGGCGACGCTAGTCATTCATCCTGTTGCTGATGCTCTCCTCAGCCTCGCCGTTGAAGCATCGGATGTTGCCATTGGCGCCGTCCTCCAACAACAGGTAGACGACACATGGCAGCCCCTAGCATTCTCCAGCCGTATTCTTCAGCCTGCTGAGACGCGGTACAGCACCTTCGGGCGTGAGCAGCACTTTCGGCATTGTCTCGAGGGTCGGGAGTTCTTCATCCTCATGGACCACAAGCCCTTGATCTATGCGATACGTGTACATTCGCCAACGCGCTCACCCCGCGAATGCCGGCACTTGGCTTACATCAGCGAATTCACCACTGATTTACGGCACATCTCCGGCACCGAAAACTGTGTTGCTGATGCTCTGTCCCGTTCCATCCCAGTGGACTCCCTCTTCGTCCGGCCACTGGACTATGACGCGCTCACTGCTGCGCAAACCACGGACCTTGACCTACAGCGTCTCCGTTCTGCTTCAGATACCACCCTGCAATTCCAGGATGTCACCGTTCCAGAGTCCAGCCGTCCCGTGGTGTGTGACATTTCAACTGGCACACCACGTCCATACGTGCCTGTGGCCTTCCGTCGCCAGGTGTTCGACTCCCTACATGGGCTCTCACATCCCGGCATCAAAGCCAGCCGCCGCCTGATTGCTCAGCGTTACATTTGGCCACTCATGCAGCGTGATATCCAGCACTGGGTTCGTGCTTGCCCCGAGTGCCAACGGACCAAGGTTCACCGCCATACACGGAGCCCACTCGCCCGTTTCCTTCCTCCGGATCAACGGTTCGCCCATATTCACATTGATTTGGTCGGCCCGCTACCGGCTTGCAAGGGCTTCCGCTACTTATTGACCTGTGTCGATCGCTTCACCCGTTGGTCCGAAGCCGTGCCCATTACCGATGCTACCGCAGAGACCACTGCCATGGAATTCGTGTCGACATGGGTTGCTCGTTTGGCGTACCGTCTGTCATCACGACTGACCGTGGTTCGAATTTCGAATCGGCTCTCTTCCAGCAGCTAATGCATCTTCTTGGTACTAATCGCTGTCGTACTACTGCCTATCATCCGCAGGCTAACGGCTTAGTCGAGCGCTTCCACCGCCAACTGAAGGCCGCCATCAAAGCGCAACCACAGCCGCACCAGTGGGTCGCTGCACTGCCTCTCGTTCTCCTCGGTATCCGGTCATCTCTCCGGACTGATTTCGGCTGCAGCTCTGCCGAGCTCGTTTATGGTTCAACGCTCCGTCTCCCAGGCGACTTCGTCGCTCCCACTCCCAACGACGACTGGGTGCCTATTGCTGAATATGTTGCGCGTCTTCGGGACACGATGTCTTCTATCCGACCAGCTCAGGTTGACACTCGCCTTCAGGCCCGACCGGTCCCTTTTGTCAGTCCTGACCTCTCAACATGCACTCATGTTTACGTCCGCGTTGATGGACACCGTCAGCCACTCCAAGCTCCATATACCGGTCCTCATCGTGTTCTTTCCCGTTCGGCGAAGTCTCTGGTGGTTGAGTTGAATGGTCGAGAGGACACCATCTCCATTGACCGCGTGAAACCCGCGTATGGAGCTGCCAGTCTCAGTGCTGCGGTTGCTTCTTCCATTGCTGCTCCTAGCTCTCCCCTTTCTGCTGCTGCTAAACCATTTGTTCGGCGCGTTCATTTTTCTGTTTAATGTTTTCTCGGCTTTTCCTTTTCCATGTCTTTCCCTTTCTTATCGTGTCCCGCTACTGCTTGTACACTGGCGGGGGAGTATTTGTAGTCCCTGCACGGATTTCTTGCGATTTATCTTTCGTTCCGCGATTTCGTAATTTTGTACATTTCTCAAGCTTCTGCGCGGCAACATTTTGTTTACAGGATGTAGCCTTTATCACGTTGCCATTGTCGGCTACGTAGAGTACCATGCTACGCATGACCCTCGGAACGTTGCGCAGATGTACCACTTCCTGCGAACTCTGCTACATGCTTATGTACTCTACCATATTTGTATACATGTGTTTTGTTGTTGTTCCACCAAGTATCCTTTACAAGGATCTAGCTCTGGCATTGAAAGTCGGCTCAGGCTTTCTTCTTCCTGCTTTTTCCACTTCTGGACTTCTGGCAGTAGTTTGTGGTTGGTCTCTGCACGTAGAATTCTTCCTTCGTTGGACTATCTCCTTGCCATTTCCTGTGAGCAATATACCGATTCTCGCTGACTCGATACTGGGAGTTAATTGTTAAAAGAACATTGTCTGCTGTACGCGTGATTAGAGGCACGTTTCCAAACCCTCTAAAGTCCCTATTACCCTCGTGGTCAGCATTATTGGCCTCATTGGTTTCCAGATATGGGTAAAGACTATGTGACTAATCCAGCGGTGCTAAACATGTTTGTTGTTCATTTGTTTGTTTTTATCTGAAAGAAGAAGTGCCAAGAACTCAATAACATGAGAGCGAATGTGATGATGGCTACGGCCAACATCTTCGTGTCCTGTTTCTAACAGATGTCAATCCACACTGTACTGTCATTGGTAATCTGCTACTATGTACTCACCGGTACTACAGTGATGAGTTGTCCAGCATCATGTACGTGTTCTGGTGCACCTCGGGACGTTTTAGATTGCCAGTTTCGCGGATTAACAATGGTGCCGGGTGGAATACCGAATACAACAATAGTTCTGTAAGTCACCCATCTTGGAATATGCCGTGCAGCCATTCACACTTTCCACATCTGTTACACTGAATTGTCGGCATTTGCAATGTGATGAGATCACCGGCTCAAAGTTCCGTATGTGATGGATATTTTTGATCCATTGTTTTTTAGAAAGCTCAGGACAAGAAGAAGCCATTGTAGCAAGTCGCATCTCAATTTTGACACTCTCACCACCAGCAATACAAAACTCGACCCACGGCGGCTGTTATCATAAATAATTTGCAACACAATAAAATATTTTCAGATGATTACAAAGTGGGGATCAACGTTGTTTGAAGACCTGGGCTTTCGAGCAAAAGCATCGCATTTACTCCTTGGAGAAGAATTGTTAGATGACAAAGCTCAAAGTGTTGGTTCACATATCGTCGGTACGCGCCGGGAGTCACCGGGATTGGGCCTCTGGCAACTTATGCCGGCGCATTGCGATAATGTGAACCAGTGCAGTCATAACAAAATCATACGGTAAAATATCGCAAGGGACCGCCGGCAAAGTTGGACACTCTCCAACTCTTGCGATTTGCCCCGGCGCCGATCCGGTACAATTTTGACCAAAAGTGGTTTGTGACAAGTTCGCGCCGGTGATCGTCGGTGCCGGTAGCCAGACTTTGTCAAAATTTCAAACCAAGAATCATCCTTAATTTTCATAAATTGAAGCTAAATATTAGGTACCTCCTCCCGTACAATCTTACCTACAACCTTTCCTAAGCTGGCCGGCCTGCATGCACCCGTACTACGTCATACTCACCTTTCATTCCGTTGGCCTGGGTAGCTACTTGCGCGCGCATGTTTGCCATAGCTAACCAGGCCCTTTATAACGCGTTGTTTCTCAGTCGAGCTTTCTCTCGTCAATAATCATAATGTAGTCCTAGTAGTTCGTCTTTGTCTCCATCTCTTCGTCTACCCTAATAAATGTCGTTCGACCTACCTGTCCCGTTGTGAATTGTGTCTGGAGAATATTGGGTCTAATCCATACTCAACATTGGCGCCCGACCATCGCTCGGAACCCATGACCCTCTTGCTCTACCGCCCGGCATTCGTCTCGTCGTCAGTCTCGTCTAGTCTTCAACCTCGTCTCGTCTATGTCTACCTCGTCTCGTCTATGTCTACCTCGTCTTGTCCAAGTCATGCAGGTCAGCTATTTTTCATTGTTTCTCTCTCTCTTTCTCTCTCTCTCTCTTTCGTGCGTCCTACTTCGTCAAATTTATTTTCAGTTTATATATTTCAAGAGTCGGCGTGGAGAAAGCAATTTTATGAGTGCAATTAAGAGTACAATAGATGCAAACATGGCCAGACAACAACGAGTTATGCCTCATTTCTTGTTAGATGAGAGCGACGAAGTAAACAAGAAATGCTGTTCTTTTCGAAACGCGGGTGCACAGTCCAGAGTTCACGGACTGTGCTGGGAGTGCAGTACGCACTGGCTGCACAGTGCGGAGTTGCAGCATGCACATGCAGGTGCATGCTGGTCTGAAGACAATATTCTTTTTGTTCTTTTTGTTCTTGCACTGCTGCTGTACAGGGGCGTTCTTTTTGTTCTTGGAGCAGCTGTTGCTGCGACCTGTTTTTTTTTACAAAAAACACACCATTTGACGGCACAAAGCAGCAAGGCAGCGATGGGACATATGGAATGGAAGGAGTGGGGAGAGGCAGGGGCAGCTTGACCGACCATAGGGTCTCGGCTTCATTGCAACCCAAGCGCTCCACAAAAGCAAAATATTACAGAAAATACGCAGGGGGGGGGGGTGAGATAACTGGGGATTACGGGGGAAAGTATGCACAATAGACATCCTTAGCAAAAGTACGATAACAGGGGTCGCTTAGCTAAGCTGCGAACAGTATATCGCATTGATGGCAAGGCTATCGGCTGGCTCTCATCGTATCTCTCTAACCGACATCAGCTTGTACGCCTCTTAACTGTGTTATCGGAGCCTTTACCCGTTACTTCTGGAGTCCCCCAGGGTTCAATCCTTGGGCCACTGCTATTTCTCCTGTATATTAATGACCTCCCCAATATTGCCCCTGGTGTCAGCCTTTTCGCTGACGACACAGCTCTGCTTTGCTCCAATGCTTGCCCTATACGCCTGCACGAAGCCATGCAAGATAGCATTGGGAAAGTTATAACCTGGATGCATGATTGGAAGTTGCAGCCAAACGTTGATAAAACGGCAGCTATGTACATTTCCCCTTCTCCCCCTTCCCTGCCAGTTTGTTTTCCTTCTTCAAGTGTTGCTATTCGTATTGTTGAAGAGCATAAGCATCTTGGCGTTATCATTGACTCTAAATTGTCGTGGTCACCCCATGTGCAGTATGTCTGCAAGCGCACAAGCTCCATCTTGGGGCTCTTCAAGCCCACTGTAGACATCTTCCTCGTTCTTGCAAACGCTTGTTTTATCGTTGCTATATATTGCCCTTACTTGACTACTGTGATACTGCTTGGTCTGGCATAACTACTACTGTATTGAACAAGCTAGAAACCCATAACCGCATGCTCCTTAAAATCTTATTTAGCAAAGATCGTCGCTTTCCCTCCGCTAGTCTTTACGAAATTGCCAAGATCAGTCCCCTTTCCACTCGACATAAGTACCACCTCTGTGTTCTCATACATAAAATATTACTAAATAAAATACCCTTGCATATGCAGGCTTATAATTGGTTCTCCGAAACACGGAATACCCGGAACTCACTCAGTCTCCCACGCGCTGCCTCCACCCTATTCACTAGATCCCCGATCTTTGCTGGCTATGTGTTTTGGGCAACATTACCAACGCAGGCCAAGACCAGCACGTCGATGGATAATTTTGTTGCTAAAATCTCTGCTCAATTATAGGTTTCATGTATATCCTGCTGGTTTGTCTCCTCCTTTGCCTTCTTTGCCTCTTATTTGTATTCTTTTATCTGTTTTACTGCTGTGGTTGGCTTTCACCCTTGTCTCAGTTTTATTGGCCGTCATTATGATGTGCCATGAGATAATGATATAAATACAAAAAAATACAAAATAACGCTAACTTTTACGGTACCCACTCCCAGCCGTGACAAAAGACGTTATCGGATAACGGAAAAACGTTACAGAGCTCAAAATAACGGGCCGACGCTCATTATGGAAAATCTGCAAAAAATGCAAAAACTCGCATTGTTTTGTAACTGGCGGGAGATAAAAAGCACGTGCAGATCGAGATGAGAGTCGAGATTGCTTCCTCTTGTGACATTTAGCTTTTTTGGCGAGGTTTGCCTTTCAGTTCACAATGTCTGCGTCCTCTGCTTCATGCCTTTCTCCCTCTATCCCACCTGGGAAACAAAAGACCAGCTCCACGGCACTCCTGAGGAGGAAATTCATCAGCCTCTCCCAGACGTGTGCTGGAGCTGGAGAACCCTTACAGTCTTCTGTGCTGCGTTTAGGAAGGTTTTCCAAGGACCTGGGAACAGCGAAAACTCATTTTCGCTGTGCTTTTGCTATTCCAGAGTAAAAGACCTCGCCAAGGTATTCTTTCGGAACGACAGCAAACTAATCCCTGGTTCAAAATTTTGAATTTCCCGGACGTATTTCCACGAAAATTCATATCGCCATAGTTGTCACGACTACTTCGTCTCAACTATAACGTACTTTGTGCTAAGGGAAAAGTTAGCTTGAACGATCCAAAGTACTGAAAGGTTTGCGTTTACGTTAGCGTATTTTTAGCTAAGGATATCTAATAAGAAGTTATCAGAGAGTCAACGAAGTGAATGGAGGAGGGAACAGAGTTAGAGCTTTTTTCGTGTTTTTTCTTTGATTCATAGCCTGTCCGTTGCCCACTCCCAGCGGGTAAGGCGCCGGTGGGTGTTGACCATTTCTTTGAACATCTGCAGTCCTTTCCTTGTTGCTGCGACCCTGCTGTTGCTGCGACCCTGCAGTTCTATTGTTGTTGTTGTTGTGGTGTGAACGAGAGAGTCGAAAAGAAAATGGAATTTTAAAGGTAGAAAGGAAAAGGACATATGGAGACGAGTTAAGAGTAACTCTCCACCCTGTAACTAGATACTATATACCGTCAGAAAGTGCAACAACTAGGCACAAAACTGACAGAGTACTGAGACATTCGACGTCCTGACACCTAGCTTCAACACATTTCCGTAGCGCTAACCGACAGCCTTCCAACTTGGAAGGTTCAAGGTTATGGAAAGACCAAAGAGGGGAAGGCAAGCGCAACGAAAACGTGCACAAGCTACAGTCCCAACGGAGCAAAGAATGTCGATTGTCACTGGACGATGACGAGACCAGTAGGCGATTTGACAAAGCGGTCTAACTACAATTCAAAGCAGCAAAGCAGCACACCACCCAACTTGGGTGGGTCAAAAATATCAAAGATAAGTTAAGAAGGGGAAAGCTTTGCGAGAACGAATTGTACAAGCCGAAATCTAAACTCCTACAGTACTCCTCATGCATGACATTGTGATGGACTAGTTGACTACAAAACAAGTTGTTTCACACGACGTACGTTTCGCCGTATGGTTCGTGACGGCTCATCAGGTGTGCAATTTGAAACTCGGGTATTTAGCCAATAATTAAAGTAGAAAGGAAAAGGACATATGGAAACGAGTTAAGAGTAACTCTCCACCACTGTAACTAGATACTATATACAGTCAGAAAGTGCAACAACTAGGCACAAAACTGACAGAGTACTGAGACATTCGACGTCCTGACACCTAGCTTCAACACATTGGCTGTCGGTTAGCGCTACGGAAATGTGTTGAAGCTAGGTGTCAGGACGTCGAATGTCTCAGTACTCTGTCAGTTTTGTGCCTAGTTGTTGCACTTTCTGACTGTATATAGTATCTAGTTACAGTGGTGGAGAGTTACTCTTAACTCGTTTCCATATGTCCTTTTCCTTTCTACTTTTATTATTGGCTCAATACCCGGTTAGCTGTCGGTTAGCGCTACGGAAATGTGTTGAAGCTAGGTGTCAGGACGTCGAATGTCTCAGTACTCTGTCAGT